TTAAATACAATCTTTGGAGCAGATCCACAGCCCTAGCCTTTTAAGAATGATGACCTGGTGTTGTAGGGTAAGGCCAGCCCATTTATGCAATGGCGGTTCGAGTTAGGGAGTCTTTTCTTCACACACCGTCTCGTCTTCCGATCCCCGCGACACACCAGCGACGCGACCTGTGCGTTAGGGCGAAGCGAGAGTTCGCACGGATAGGCCAAGGGGCCCCAGCTTTTCCTGGCGTTTGGGGTCAAAGAGTTTGAAGGCGCGCAGTAAGGTCTCCTCTTCGCTCTGCAGCTCCTTCGTGCCGGGCGCGAAACCGCGGAAACCGCGGCAGGCCGAGCGGAAGATGCGTTATGAACTTGCGAAACAGTGCGAAACGGACGGTTTTGGGGTCTTGGCACCGTCCCGTGAGGAAAAAAGGCAGGACTTCCAGGTCGAAGAGGGATATAAACCAGGAGACTCATGAGTGATGAATGCTGAACTTCGATGGGCATTCAGGCCAACTCCTTTGGAACTCTTGGATGGCTGGGACTTGCCAGGTTTAACCGGGCCTCTGGGGAGGATGTTGGCCGAATCTCAGGTTGGGATCCAGCACGGCATTCGATGATGGGACACGTGGACCTTCTCCCTTCCTCGATCGGAAGAGGCAGCGGATGAAGGTTCCAAGCGTGGCGACGCAGGACCTGCTCGTGTCCGACGCTATGATCCTCCTCGGCCTCCGACTCGTGTCCAAAACGACTCGAGCCTACTCACGCTAGTCACCACGCCTCATCTTGAATGGACCGTCGAGATCGGCCACCCGTTTCAGGTCCGGTCGAGTTCGGAGGAAAAGAAGAAAAGGTTGAAAGAGCCGACTGGACTCCCATGGGCCCATGGGTTGCATATCAAACTGTACAAGAATTGAAATTTTATGGACCTGCTCGCGCAGTCAGACCCCTGTTGAACGGCCCTTTTCAAGGTCTGTGGCCCCTCTACATCATTGGAGCCCAGATGCATACCCCGGGGTGGCATACAGAATGACTCCAAGGCCGGCGAAGCAATCCCTTAAGTGACAATCCAGCAAGCCAAGGTTTCCCAAACTAATTGTCTTTTGTATTTGGGCCAGGATGACCAAGAGCTTCCATTGTGGGGTTTGTCCTTCTCGGATTTGAGGGTGTAAGACTATACTCAGAGCTTTTCCTGAAAGAGCTTTGAAATGATGTCTCCAAACTCTCGAATCCATCTCCTACCCCATGGAGTCTTTTCGAGCAGCTGCAAGAGTTCTCTCATCCCTTCAGCATCCAATATGGTCCACATCCTCATCATCACCGACTTTCCTCTTCAGCCCTGCGGCCGTGCCCGGCGCGCCTTGTCCAAGCGCTCCAGCAAGTCGTCCACATCGTCCAGTCGCGGATCTTTGATCGCTTGACGGATTCGCACCACCTGGCGGCAGAGTTGGCGGGAGCGGACTTCGGGTTGGACGGCGGTTGGTCCCGGCCTTGCGCGGGAAGGCAGGGGGGGAGAGGGAGACACATTGGGCGCGGAAGGTGAGCCTGGTTTGGGTGGGGGCTTCGTTCTTTGGAGTTCGGGGAGGGGAGCCTTCGAGCGTGGGAAGGGAATTGGAAGACCCTTCACAGAGGTGGCTATGAATTTGGCACACCATGGAGATGCTTGCTGAGTCATGAGGCTATGATTCCCAGCAACAACCGAAGGACATCGTCCGGTCGGAAGATCAAAGCTCTTGGCAGCCTTGGCCCTGTGAAGTGCTCTTCATCAGCTCAAACCACCCAATAAAAGGAATATAACTACTAGTACTGCTACTAGTACTGGTTACCGACCTTAATGGGGGGGGATACCGACCACATGTCCAACTGAAGGATAGCTTGACAAGTGCTGCTTTGAGTTTGCTATCATTTAATTGAGTCGGAGGCAAGAGGCCACAAGGTGAACCATGGTGAACCCGCAACTTGGCAACGGGGTGAGAAAACTCACGAGGCGACATAGAGCCCACGAAACAAGTGCCTGTGCTCTCCCCAAACTCCCAAGACACCAGAAGTTCAGGAGGATTGAGACTTATTACACTCCCTGGTGTAATCATGGATGCGTGGACAGCCCCTGAGTTCGGATGACCCTTTTAGTACCAAGCAGGTGGTGAACTCCACTTCGATGGTTCCGAGCGTATGGGCCCTGAAATCTGGGAGTGCAGTGCGACCAGAAACACGTCGCGAACCTGGCGATCTTGGATCCACGTTGGGAACCTCGAGACTCCTTTAGTCATGAGAGTTTCGATTTGGAGAGCTCCCCCCCACATCTCTTTGGTCACCCCCAACCGCTGCCGAACGAGCGCAAACGAGCTGCCCGCTCACCCTGCTGCCCGATTCTCACTGTGGACTCCACGCGTAGTCGTTCAACGGATGGTTGGCGGATTCCAGGTACCGGCGCGAGGCGATGAACTCCTCAATCGCTCCGAGCGCGCCGCGAGAACCGAAGTCGGGTCGAACCACAGGACGCGGTTTGGGACGGGCGGTGTTTTGGTGGAGACGAGTGGTGTGGAGGGTTGGAAGTGGTTTTACATGCTTTTACCTTGGATGTCTCTTTGGTGTCGGCCTTGTTCCTTTGGTGTTGGCCTTGGATGTCTCTTTGGTGTTCTCTTTGTGTCATCCCTTTTTCCATGATTGGAGGGAGGGTACGTCAGGATGGGGCGATTGGAAGGGTCCTCATTTGAGAGTCCAACTCTGGAACCCTGTTTTTCCCACCTGGCCAGGCTCAGGTCCAGCAGACCCCCCGGTCGCCGGTCGCCGTGTCCCAACAGCCGGCTCCGTTGATCTCCACGGGCTGCCCAGCTGCTTCCGGCTTCCGTTCGGGGTCACCTGGCTGGATATCTTCACACTACGTAAACAGGTCTCCAGACAGGGCACCCACACCGGGCACTGCGCTAGGCCCTAGGCCTTTCCTTTCCTCACTTTCCTCCAGCTGCTTCGCTCCGGCCTCCCCCCCCACCAGGTGCTGTCTCAGCCCAAGGAGCGTACAACCTGGTCTCTGCGCTCATGGCGGAAGACCGAAAGACACGGCACTGAGTGTACTAAGCTACTGAAGCTACTGAAGCTGTGGACCTGACTGGGACCTGGTCTGACAGGTGCTCTCAGCGAAGTTCGCCCGATCTATCTCCCAATTTGCAATGCTCCAGGCCGTCCGCACCCACTGGTGGGAAAATCACACACTCATGGAAATGGTCAGACACTCATAGACGTAGAAGCAGACCCAGCTGTAGATGATGAGCCAAATGCTTTTGCGATCGCGCGAGGGTTGCGAACGTGGGTTGGTGACCTGGTTTGGGCAGCTACTGTACCGGCTCCTGGTTGGGAAGTCCAGGCAGTAGAAACGGAAAATTATAGTAACACATACATTTATAGAAGCCATCTCCACTGCTATCTCCTATATAACCCCCCACCCAACTCTGGATTGCCCCCCCAAAAATGGGCCGACTTGGGAGCGATGGACTCACTTATTTTTTTGCCCCAGTTGGCTGGAGATCAGTGTTGAGATTAATTTAGCCATATGAATGATTTCTCACGCGAGCAAGACATCATTCATTCCTCAATCCAGGTACCAGCTAGGTTGTCTTCCAGGAATGTCACCATCCTCGCCCCAGATAATCTGGGGCCAAACCAGCTTGGTCACCACGAAAGCATTCGCTCCGGTTGTGGTGGCCCAAGGTTCTGGTGGCCCAAGCAGTTCCCCGGGTTCTGCGGCCTGACAGCTTCGTAGGTGACCCACCCCCCCAGATCCGGGATGAAATCAAGGGGAAAGAGTGGGGCCACCACTCGGAACCTTGCGGCGTTTGCCATCTCCGATTTACAATGGGAAGTATAGAGGGGTCGCTGCCAGGTATCATATATATATATATATCAGTTGTACACCTTAGGGGGTATTCCCCAAATCGGCCAACCAATTCCTTAAAGATACTAAAAGGACATTTATGGCGGTAAATGCCCGGAAGCATCTGTCGTGCCACCCGTTTGCATGGCTGACCATCCCAATTTCCCTTGGGTCACTTGAGATTCAACTTGAGATCCATGCCAAACCAGTCGGAAACCCAAAGGACTGTGGGGAAGATGCCCGGAAGCCAAGGAAGCTGAAGAAACTCTGCTTCTTTTCATGTGTCTTTCCTACGCAGTAAGTCAATCAAGCTCAAGAACACATGGGACTCGTGCAGATCTGCTCTTTCATGAGTTTTTGGTTGATCACCCAACCAGTATAAGTATATAGCTTCGTGGGACGAGTAGGGAGAGGGGTGATCTGTCACTCCATCTACCTGCTGAATCTGAAGGTGGACCAGTTCAATCACGTGACCATGTGAAAGATCCACACGGAAACTGACTCATGGCACTTGAAGAGTAACTCAATCCCAGTGCATCCCAGGCAGTTCCCACGTACTATAAGGGACCAGGGGCCCTCGTTCAGTCTCTGGTTTTAGTCGTCGTTTTCTGGAACGGACTCCCAGCGACATCGTGGGAACTGCCTGGATGCCCTCAAAAATAGCTTCTACAAGTTTCAGACCGAACCACTTCGGGCGCGGTGTTTCTTCCTCCAAAACACCCGAACAACGCATCGGACGATGTTCATGTGGCAGTGATCGGACGGACAGCGACCAAAACAGCGACCAAAACGTGGAGTCTTCATGCAGGTGGATCATTGATAGGCATCTCTGTCTTTCAAACGAAGCTCGAATCGATACAACATTAATATACAACTAACTCACTCACAAAAGTCGTTTGGGATGCCTGATTTTTCTGGAACTTGAGGGGGGCCCAGTGATTCTGAAGCATGCCACTCCATGCAGATTGGGAGACAACTTCTCTGAGCGCACAGCTTTTTCACTCGGCATCCCACCTGTACAAGACCCTGCCCTTCCACCCTTGGCCCCCCACCCTGTTTCTTATACCAGTCGATGTGTCATCAGAACGATCTCCATATATGATCCATTCCTCCCAACCTCCCCAGCACCCCAACCTCCCGCACGGCCTCGCCTCGATCTGATGCTTGTAGTCCTTGGATTGGCTGTCCCACAGGGAGAACTTCTCCAGTTTGCGGGATACTTTTGGGATATGTTCACTATCCGGAGACAGATCAACGCCAAGTTTCATGAAACATCAAGACCAAAAGCCAACTCACCTAAAGCAAAAGCAGCAGCGCACACTTTTGCAGTTTGGTTGGCTTTTCCTTCCATGGTCTGTGTTTTCAAAAGTCCGACTGGGATGGTATTCATGAAACACAACCTGCTTTTTGCGCAGGCTCCAAGCACGTACTAAAAAAACACATCCTCAAAAACCAAATGGGAAAAACATCCTCCAAAAACAACCTCCACCCCACCCTCCGCACCCCTCCGTCGCCTCCGCATCCCTCCGCCAGGAGGCCGTTTCCGCCACCAGCACGCCCCCGACGAAGGCGCCCAGTGTCTCGGACAGCCCGAGGGCCTCGCCGTTCGGAAGAGAGCGATCTGGAGAAGACGAGGAGACGAGAACCCGAGGCCTCAGAAGGTCTTTGGCTCTAAACCCTAGGGGAACTGGGATTGAATCTGCATGGATAAGAAGTTGGCAAAACACATGGTAACACCGTGGTTACACCGGCGTCTCTGGGGTGTCAAACGGGCAGGAAATCGAGTCGTCTGGAGAGATTGGTGCCATAATGTCATGTATATAACTCGGATGAGCTGCAAAAACTGTTGCTCCTGGCTGCCAAGGAGAAGAACACCTTTCATCGACCCCCAAAGCTTCGGGTCCTCCTGCCTGGGTGAGGCTGGAGGACAGGAGCACCGTGCCCAGCGTCACGGCCAGGAAGGCCTGGCGCGCACCGCGGGCGCCCAACGGCCCAGGCAGCGGCGTTTTTGAAAGGATCGAAGAACTCCAGGAAGGAACTCGCTTCTAGTAGTGATGCCTTTGCTCCTAGTAGCGATGCCCTTTGCTCCTAGTAGTAAGGCCAGGAGCCCCTCGTAGCCTCTTGTTACTAGGATATATTTTTCCTGAAAAAGGTGAGAATTGGGATTGGGATACTGTAATTTGTATGGTCCAGCATAATGATCACTTTCCAACTGGTCCAGTGAAGTGATACTTGTTTTGAACCTTTTTTTGGAACAAGCTCTTGGAACGACGGCCTTTTCCTCTCACCATCTGAGCTTGTCCAACGTGTTGTAGATCAGTAGATCTGTTGCGCGTCCATGTTGGCCGGGGCACGACCATCCCGAAAAAAGGATTGAAACGATTCAAATGCACCGGGGCCAAAGTGGATGGCACAGCGCGAAACAGAAAAGGGCGAGTAGATGGCACCGACAGGGCCCTTCGGAGACACGCCCAGGTTAGGGGGAGCAGACCAATTTTAGGCGATGATGGCGCGCCTTTTTCTAGTCATTCACGCCTTATTTCAGTGGTTCATGTGAGAATAGATAGCGCAACTCTACATACCTTACCCTCTTATGTCCCTCTGTCTCCTTTCCCTCTCCTCTCATATCCTTTGACCTTCTGTGTCTGATCCTTATCCTTTTGCTTCCTTTCCTGCACTTCTCCTTTACCTTTCCTCCCGTTTGCTTTCTTTCCTGTTGTTTCTTTCTCTTTCCTGTCATCTCCCTTTATTTGTTTCCTTTCCTCGCCCTTGGTTTGTTGACCTTGCCTTTCCCTTCCCTTTCCCTGCACTTGCACTTCAATCTCCATTGACCTATTGTAAGAACGGTGCACACTAATAGATGGCGCAATCCTGGAGTGAAAGGCGATACAGTACTGTAATGGTTAATGATGGTTGAGCCATTAGATAGTCTAACCGGTCTTTCTCCTTTCATGCCCTTGCCCTTTGCTTTCCTTTCCTTTTGTTTCTTTTCATTCAGTTCTGCTTGACCTTCCCCTGGTCCTGTATTTCAGGGGTTCCTGTGAGAAGCAGATGGCGCAACCTCTCCTCTACTCTCCTTACCTTCTCCTCTCACTTTCCTTTCTTTCCTAAATGTCTTCATTCCCTCTCCTTTCATGCCCTTTCCCTTACTTTCTTTTCCTATCCTGTGGTTTCCTTTCCTTCGCTTATCCTTTGCCTTCCCCTGGTCCTGTACTTCAATGGTCCCTATGAGAAGTAGATGGCGCAAAGCAGGTTGTTGGGGAGATTATGGAATACAGTATATGTAGAAGTAGATGGCGCAAAGCACAATTAAGGTTTGAAATCCAGACATTGCGGCCCAGAGTTCACAGCCTACAACAACCAAAAGCAGCTAGACAATATTCAAACACAAGAATGGCTTTCCATGAGCCCTTTCCATTAGATTAGAACAAGCTTGAACTTGAACAAGCCCCATTCCACAAGCTTGACCTTGAACCCTGCTCATGGGCAAAGATGGCGGAGCACAATCAAGGGTTGCAATACAGCATTTATGGCTCCAACGGGCTTGATGAGCCATCTATTTGATCATCATTTTTTTGCAGAATAAGGCGTAACACCCGAAAAAAAGTTGAACATGAAAAAAAAATTGCAGACTAATCTCCTTTGATAGCAATCAGGGTCACTATCTAGGTAGATGGCGCATTGTTATAGCTGTGCCATCAACAGATTTGGAACCCCCTCAAAATGATACGCCTAGGTAGATGGCTCAATTCAGAAATCAGTGCCATGCACTTTTACCCCGGAGTTAATGTTGATATAGTGATCCCCGAATATAATGGAAATTGTTTGTTTCCAATATATATTTAGTCGGGGATTTACTTTTCTATCTATCCGGGGTCTATGATCTATGTATTCTGAAATCACCGTGTCCCAAAAAAGGGCCGCAGAGAACGGACGGCCCCGCGGGGCCGGATTCGCTCTTTCCGCCTCGGAGGAGTTGGAACGCTTCACGTAGGCCAAGAGCGGCTGCAAGATGAAGCTCAGGACCGGTGCGGCGCTCGAAGCCCGAACGTGCGTCCCAACGGCAGTCGCACGTGGCGCGTACTGCGTACTGCGTGGCGGGAGTAGGTGCGGCGTGGACCGAAGGCTAGGCAGTACGGGTGCCGAGCACGTGGTGCAGGATGATCTTGGATGGGTTGGTCCATGAACTTGATCGTCTTTGTGAAGATGCATTCCTCAAGCTTCCTAAAGGGTGTCAAATGGAGACCTAGTAAGTTGCGGGACTTGTTGGATGATCCTACTTATGATGCGGTTCCATGCATTTCCTCCCACAAGGAGGTTTCTCCAGAGGAAAGAAGCACCTCACTGATGGTCGAAAAACGATCACCTCCCTCTGAGCCACGATATCGCTGGGGTTCGGTGCGGACGGAAATGCCGAATTGGCAAGGAGGTGAGAGGGGGAGCCCCACGCTGGATCTTCATCGATCATTATCACCTCTGCAACCAAGGCTCCCCGTGGTAGCACATGATGGACGTCCACACAGGCGAAGTGAAGCTGAAAGTGGAAACCCTTCATCTTTTGGGCTGTTCTTTCATCCACCCTGGACTACCCATAAAGGACCTTCGTTCATGCTGGACTACCCCAAAAGAAGAAGTATCGGCTAACTTGGAGCCAACGTGGGCCCTTCATGGCAGGGGACCCGAACCAAACCCTTTTCTATTTGGGATCCGGAAACATTGGAAAACCATTGAAAAGGGTGAGACTTAAAGTAGGGACACCTCCCAGTGAAAGACCCCCTGGAAGAAGGGAAATGGACCAAAACACTCCAAGAACCCACTTGTGGGGGCCATCCCTGTTCGGTTGCACACCCCAAAAGGGAACATTGAGTACTGAAGAAGAGGATGATCGACACTGATGGAGTGTGATGGGGCTCGCAGCCGCTCGGCGCTCCCCACTGGCCGGTGAACGCGATGATGCCCAAGGCCAATAGAGCCTCTTCGGCAGTTCAAGGCCACCAGCGTGGTGGGTTGCAACGGCCAAGAACGCGTGGTGGGTTGCAAGTGGAGATGGGCCGCCGATGGGCCGATGGGTCTGAACAAAATATTATGTATGTCGACTCCTTGATTCCATTTGATTCCTTGATTTCAACCCACGAGGTTTTACAATATGTCTGGGAGATTATGTTCAACATTGCTCATGACTGGCTATTCAATCCCTTTGCCTGGACTTTGCTTCATGGGTCAGCTGCATGAAGGAAACACTTAAGGCACCAGTTGCCCTTTGATTGGACAACGCGTTTCGCTTTTGGTCCATCAACATCATCCAAATCCTGACGAAACAGGGCCGCCCATCGAGTGCAACCCGCCGCGCCCAGTCCTCGGACGTCCGTTCGTCCTTCAGGCCACTGAAGGACCCAACACGCGTGGCCCGGAATCCCCAAACAATCCATGTACAGAATTATGGATTCGAACACTTGCCCCAATTAGGGCGGTTTCGTAAGCGGTGCTTTGTAGGGTCCCATGTAGGTCAATCTTCCAGTCCCATGCATTCCTGAGATTCCAAATGCCCGCCGTTGAACCCAACTCGGTCCAAATCGTTGGAGGAAAAACGGATCCTCCCATCGTTTGGAGGCGTTCAGGTCCTCGCGTCCCTTCTGGATGAAAAAAGGCCTAGGACATCTTGTGGGCGCACCGACCTAAGTGAATCGCTGCTTTAGTGTCAGTCCCCCCCCTGAAAAAGCGGCGTCAACCAGTGGGTCAGCGGCTTTGGCAAGTTTGGGGAGCCCTGGGACCTACAGGAAGCTACCTCCAAACAACCTCAGCTGGGTGCCCCAAACCTGTCTTCCTCCGCTCAGAACGTGGCGGCCCGACCGGTTCCACCGATGGTCCCGATTGTTCCACGGGAGACGGACGACGGAGGGTTTTCTCCACCTTGCCAAAGGCTTCCGAGAGGACGACCTCAGTGGAGTTCAAACCTCCGACGGGAGGTTGTTTGGGAGGAAGGTCGTTGAAGTTGGAATGTAGTTCGGCGCCGTGAATTTGCTGGGGCAAAAAGAAGATGATGGTTTGGTTCTTTTTTAATGCATCTGTATGTTTGGTTTTCTCGAGCGTGAGGAGTGCTTAGAAGAGTGATATATTCTTTTTTTGGGATGCTGGTGGGGCGGATAAGCCCCTACAGGTTTTAGGGGTGAAGATGGTCAAGACAAGGGGGGCGGTGCCTTAACATGGGGAGACCTCCCACAGACCCCCTGCAAGAATGGAAATCGTGCAAAGGGCCCTTGTTGGGGCTCTCTCTCTCTCTCTCTCTCTTTCAATATATATATATAGTATAGAGAGAGAGAGAGAGAAATGCGCACCCAATAATCATCCATATATATATACTGTATATATATATATATTGGTCATCTCTTCATGTTGGGCATGAGGACACCCCGCAAGAGAGGGGGGGAGCAAAACCCCCGCGAAGCATTAATCATTAGACTATATATTACAACAATAGATCACAATTTCGCATCGTTGCTGATCTGTTTTGGGAGCCCTGCCAAGTACGTAGACATATCCCCAGATCCCCCGTCAAGTCATCCATGTGACAAGTTTGTCTTCCGCTCCGGTCTTTTTGGTGCGACCAGATCGATAGTCTCTAGTCCTCCAGTTGGACTCCCCTGTCATCGGTCAAAGGAATCCATTCTGAAATGCTCAACCACCAGCCCCATGGGAAGGAAAGACCTGGTGCCCCGGCGCAGGAAGCGGGTCCAGAGCGCCTTCTTGGAGCCATATGGACCCATGTACTAAGAAGATCTGCTCCCAAAATCCCGATGCAGTGGGACTGTTCATGTCTTCTCTCCTTTTTGTTGGGAGCATGTGTTCGGTCTGGGTGACTAAACTCGCCTCATGACGAGTCGTCACCCAAGAAGTCTTCCGAACCAAAAAAAAACAAAGGTCCATATAAGAGCCAGCCCAGGATAGGACGATATCATCGATCTCAGAGGTGCTCCATCTGTCTGTCTCTGTCTCTCTCGCTCTAATTACTTGGAGAAAAAGTTCATAGTCTCACCAATTCCTTCCCCAGATGCTGGGAGAGCTCACTGCTGGAGCTGTGCGTTAAGCTACTGCCTGGACCACTGATTGCTCACCGGGGCCATTTCCGAAACAAAGGATACAATGCGCATCTGCATTGTTTTGGCAGGTGATTTTATTTTTGGGTCACATATGGATCCTGCGAACTGGTCGCAACCCAGCAGCTTCTTGAGCGAATTCGAGGATGATGGGCTGTTGTTAATGGAAAATGTCCGGTGATGCATCCAAATAAAACCTTCCATGGGAAACATACGTGACAAAAAAGGTCACCTCGTCCTTTCATGGGGCCTTTCCAGTCACCTTTTCGAAAAAAGCCTTTCGTCTGACTGGGGGCCAGAAAGCCCTTTGAGAAATGAAAACATTGAAACAACGGAATTCAGACTACCGTTCAGAAAGGGCAAACTGTTGTCGGGCTGCTCTTGTGCATCCATGGTCATCCATGTGTAAATCTTTGATGCGAAGAACATGTTTGAAAACACGGCCTGCTCTTGATCCTCTTGGGAGGCCTTCTAATTATCCTTTCTGCGTAGTGTTTTTGAAAGAGTTGTATTATTTTTTCTCCCAAGCACGGCCGCTCTCAAAAAGGAACTGAGAAACTAGGCCAGGCCGCCCCTTACTTTACCTTGAGAATTGATGGGTGAGACCAAAGAAGGGATTCATCATACTTGACGACAGGTCCCAAAAAGCCCCTCAAATTAAAGCGGCTGGACTATCAGGGATACCAAATTGATGTCAACCTGGTTTGGAGATCGGGGGGTTCAACCTCCCATGTGTAGCTCTTGGAAATGGTTCCCAACTTAGGATGAGACTCCAGGCCTCCAAGCCTTTAGGCCACGGAAATCGCAGCCCGATGCCGGAAGCGCAGTCGGCACCTTTCCACTTGGGGTTAAAAACCGGCTGGTGTTTCTGGGGGGTCTTGCTGAAGGTCGCAGTTGGATGGGCCCAACCGTTGGGACCCAGCCGCCGACCATTAGGACAGTTCGCGCTTTGATAACTTGAGGATTCCTGCAGAATTGGACCCTAAGGGTTCTCGCACCGCCTTCACCAAGCATTCAAGGTGTGACTTGCCGCAAACTCAGGGCAGTAGGGCAAAGCTTTACAATGGTCACTGTACATCACCAGGGATGGAGCGGCCAGGCGTGTCACTTGAAAGTCCGCATCTCCTGCGCGAAAGGAAGGGCAGGCGGCCACGAGCGAGCCTGTCGAAGTAGATCACACGGGCGCAAGGAAGGCATCAGGTATGACACATACCCCATCGTGGCTGTTCAGATGGAGGGCGATGAAGGATGATAAGGGCCCAAAAACGGATTTGCTGAGTCTCCACCAGTGAACTGTAGCCAGCTGTAGGCTCCACACAGCATTCCTGCATGGAGTTTCTGGACTCGTGTTGGCAGGTAGGTTCTTTTCATGACTTCCTTTGACTTCTTTCGGCATGAACGTGCACTCCGGCTTCGTCCAACGCCGAATCCCCACGCACGGACGCCAACACCAACGGCCAAACCGTTGTTTGGTGCAACACGCTGGTGCGACACACGACGTGCGACACACTCGTGCCAAACACAGATGGGACCCTCGTGTGGGTCCACTCTTGCCGGACACTCTTTTTTGTGCGACATTCTGGACAGCGTTGACAAACACACTCTTGTAGGGCACTCTTGTGGGACATTCTTGTGAGACGTTCGGACACTTTTGCAGCACACTCTTGCGCTCTTGTGGGATACTCTTGTAGGGAACTTTTGTGGTAAGCCTTTGAACTCTTGTGGGGGACTCTTGCTGACATATTTTGCATGGGGTCTTCAAAACAAGAACTTCACCTGAGACTTCCTCCCAAAAGCCACACGCCAAGTCTTCAAAACGAGCATTTAGAACGCTTGGCCACACGCCAAGTCGCCAAAACAAACATTTCGCACGAGACTTCCTCCAAAAGTGATGAGGGAAACCTCATCAGTGCGAACACATGAGCAGCCCTGCCAAGAAGTATTGCAATCCAAGCCCGCCCCGCGTTGGAATATTGACATGTCGCCGCCTAACCCAGATCCAGCAAAGTCGCGCATGTACCTATATATACCTACAAGTCACAATAGCACTGGCACAGCTTCGAGGCAAGAGCTCCAGAAAAAAACCGGCACAGTGACGCCAGACGCACAGACCGTCACAGACCTCACAAAACGCAGCCTCACTTGCCTCGTGAAATCAGCCTTCACTCTTCATCACGTGTCCACGCGATTTCATTGCAGACTGCCTCCGAGTCAGTTTCCTCCAGCGACTGGATTTGATCGGCAAACTCGGGTCGTTCCCTATATTTGGTCTAATCCTACCCTAGCATAGCCATGCATAGCCATGTAAAGCCATGCATGCATACCCTAGTTCGCAGCAACTCCCCCTTGGGACAACAATGCATGGCATGTGGGGCAGATGTGTCAGGTATGTCAGGTACAACCCACAAACCGGGGGCCAACCCCAGACCATGCCAGGGACAACAGCCCCAAACCCTCCACGCCTAGGGTCTTTCTCCAGGGTGGGTGGGTGGGTGGGTAGAAAAACAGGCAATCCAGCTCTAGCTCTGAAGCAACAAACCAAACAACACCAAAGACCCCAACAACCGCTGAAAGGGACTGCAGGTGCATTGTTCCAAAGCAGCACTCCAAGTGGTGACTCAGCAAGTCGGTTGAGTCCCTTTCCCCAGACTGACGATCAACGGGAACGCTCTCTGCTTCGAAGCACCCACGACCGAAACCCCCTCACCGCCGTGTCACCGCCGTTCCCGCTGAAAACCCCCCAACCGTCCGATCCGCCCGCCGAAACCGCGGTGGCCGAGCTATGCGCCGACGCCGAGCGCGCCTCCTGGAGGCAACGGTTGAAATGCACGAGCTATGCAGAAATGCAGGTTCGAGGGCCTCACGAACGAACGTCCCCTCGTCGAATTGGGTCACTCTTGCACCGCCGCAGGGCGCCGAACGGCAGCGTCTGCGCTGCCTGAGTCGCGTGGCGTGTGGGCTCCGGTGTGCGAAGCCGTGGTCACGCGCAGGTTCGAGAGAATCAAAAGCCATCTTGCAATGAGGTGGTGCTTTCCAAACACCTTCACTTCTCCACCCAGTGCACCTCCTCTTCCACCTCCAAGAAGGTCTTCCTCACGACCAGCTTTCCGCTGCTCGACGCCTCCCGCGCCACGTGCGCCGCCGCCTTCGGCGCCGCCGCCTTCGGCGCCGCCTTCGGCCCGCGGGCCCCGCGGACGAAGCGGGGCGCCATCTCGAGGAGGTTGGGCGCACTGCTGCCCCCGTGCAGGCGCCGGTACGCGCCCTGCAGGAGAGATGTGAGCGGTTTTTAAGCGGTTTTTCTCAGAGGTAAGGCTCAGACCGCAGCGGCTACAGAAGTAAATGGATGTTCACACCAAGTGTCTGATAAAAAAAAGGAGGGTGCATGCAGCAAAGTCAGTGTCTATCTTTGCTCTCGTTCACTCGCCCGCAGCCACAAACCATACGGCCCCGCCCTACTTTCGGCCCAAGTGTACTTATTATAGTATACTTTAGTAGGTGTATATACAGTGTAGGCTAGGTGTTTAGATTCATGGTTTAGAGTCTAAAATACCAGGAACATCCAGGAACTGCACCAGGACCATCACAATCTGATCTCGTTTGACCGTCGGATGGTCCCAGGTTCGGCTTTTCGGACCTCGCGGACCTCGCGGACCTCGCAGCTCCACTCGTCGTCCCTCGCACCTTCTGGGCGCCAAAGGCCTGTAGTAAACGCTCCTTCTTGGCCTCCCATTCCCGACGGAGCACCGCACACCTTCGTCCCACGGCGGTGCGAGTGCGAGTGCCGCGGTGCGACCCACTTCGTTCGAGCCCCGTTCGGCGTTCGGACGAACGGTCCGAACGGTC